CCCAACAATGTTGCTAACGCAGAAATGCGCTCATCGCAACCAGATCTAAATCGGACGAAACAAAATTTATCGCAAAGAAAAAGAAATTAAGCAAAAAATAGTATTATTGCTCACACAACAATGCGATCATCGCAACCAGATCGAACTAACACAAATGTCACGCGTCATGCACACAAATGTGCAAACATCGTATCGACATAATTCGATCAAAAATCTTATATACATAAACTCTAACAATTTAAAAATTATATATATATATATATAAACGTAACAGTAATAGATAAAGAAAAAGAAATAACGGTAATAGATGAAGAAAAAGAAATAACGGTAAAAGATGAAGAAAAAGAAACAACAGTAATAGATGAAGGAAAAGAAATAACGGTAAACGATGAAGAAAAAGAAACAATAGTAATGGATGAAGAAGAAAACTAAATAACGGCAAACGGCACTCACTCCTCTTAGGTTTTTTTCATTCTCCCCTCTTTTCCAACAAGGCAACACATGTATATATAGGGAACAAATTAGGGTTAACACCAAATTGTCAATAATGTCCCTAAAGCCCATTTTAAAGCCCAAACTAAATAATTAGTTAAGAAAAAATAAAATTTAAATAATTTAAAATAATTAAAATAAACTTAAAATAAAAACTAATAATCCTATTGATTCCTAAAATAAAAAATATTATAAAAAGAACAAAAATTTTTTTCAATATTTTTTATTTTATGATTTTTTGGATATTTTTATGAATAATTTAGAAAAAAGTGAAAAAAATAATATTTTAAAAAATGATTTAATTAAAATACGAAAATAATAATTAAATAATAATAAAAAACTATTTTTGTTATTTTTTTAATGAAAGATAGAAAAATTTAGAGTAAAAATAATAAAAAAACAAAAAAAATGACAAAGGTGAGATTCGAACTCTCAACCTCTCACACTCATAACTCCTTACACATGTCCTCCTGCCAATTGTGCCATTTTTACTTTTTAGAAAAAAAAAATGCATGCCATATGATATTTACCTGCAAAAAGTCAAACGACTACACAAATTTGTTAGTAATTGATTAAATGCAATGAAATGCGACGACAAATCTTAGGGCAAAATTTGGGGTATTACAGTTATTATGATAATATTTCTCACCCAACCTCTCTTTGATGTTGGCAAAAAAAATCATGAAGTTTGACTTTGGTTTGACCACAGTTGACCTCAGCTGCATTGACTGCTTTTGACTTATCTGATCATCTGACTGAGCAAACTTTTGAGAAAAGTCTTGAAACTTGACATGGGGGTTCTTATACACATATAAGATGTTATGAAGCTCACTTGAAGTCTTGGAAGTCCATTTAGCCTGATTAAAGTCAAAACCCTAGTTTTGGATGCACTGCTTAGGAGGTGCATTGTCTGAGGGAATTGTCAACTCTTCTGACCAATTGTGAACTTTGTGAACCTTGTGAACCTTCTTGGAACACAAAGTCTTGTATTGTGAGGGCAAATTTTGGGGTGCAACACATGCAAATCTAAGCAAAATAGGATTAAAACTTGCGTAAAACAAATAGGGATAAAAAACTTACATGGTCAAAGAGAAAAGAACTATGGTCAGTGAAGGTTGCTCGATGCTAGTACAACGGTGTTGCGGCGGTGGACGACAGAAACGACGAAAGCAGCAGAAGAAGAGAGATAAGCAAAAAGTGAAAATGAACGTTTTCTCCCTCTATTTATAGATAAATTAGAGGCACGTGCACGAGCACACGCGGCGTAAGGGAATCATTACGACCTAACGTAGCCATCATTATGCATTAAATGTGGCACATGGCTCGATGCAAGCGTGGCACTTCATCCCCTCAAGTCTCATCAATCGTTGGGCTCCTTGCTGACTGGACACGTGAGACAACGTTTCAAGTCCCTCGGGCACATGTATCCTCGAGCACCACAAAACGACCCCGTCTCAATGACAAGCGTCGATCATGCTCACTCCTTCTCAAGATCACGGGCTACCCTTAAGTCATCACTCCTATGCTCAGGAGCAATGACTTAGGGGGATCCTATTCTGGACTGGTCCAATGGCTAGGCATGACCCAATCCACTTATGCGTCCAGAACGACCCAATAGCCTAAGCCTTGCCAGTTAAGGGAAATGAAAAGCATTTTCTACTCTGCCCCTCAGCCAAGGAGGGCTGACCAGCTGACCCCCAGGATCAGTTGTCCTTCATGATATCTATGTCCGTCACGCACGGTTCAACCATCCAGGAACGACCACGACGCTCTTGCCCACGACCACACCCCTTCTCAAAGCAACGACCCATTCAAGCACCTTTGTCCGTCTCAACGACTAGTTTTTGGAAGTTACCTATTTCCGAGGAACGTTTATCTCGACCCGAACATAGGGACCAATGGCCAAGTACTGAGGGCATTATAAAAACCCTCTCTTTTGAGAATGTCAGGTATCCAATAATCATCCTAAGAAACACTTACTTTATACTTACCTTCTCATCTTTCGATTCTTACTTTAGCATCGAAGTGTCTTGCAGGTACACCCCTCCTTCTTGATATCCAACATCACAGGCAAAGTCTCTGGCCCATTTCAGGTTCTGATCAACCATCAAGATCAACTTCAAAATCTGAAAATGCTTCAAATCAACTTCAAGAATCACACTCCAAAGCCTTGATCTACATAATTTGATATTGAAGAAGTGTTTTGATGGAGGTTTAGCTCAAAGATTAGTAAGCTTCAATGAAAACCTTACTAACTTTTAATGGAAGAAAGAATTTTGGTGGATTTGGATAGATGAAGAAAATTAATAATGAGGAAGAATTTTGACAAGGTGAATTTGATTATCAAAAGCTTGAAGAATGAATGAAATGAGGGCTCTATTTATAGAATTTAGGCTTGGGAATTTTGGTGGTTTGCAATTTGGTTTGGAATTTAATCTAGGCTTAGAAATTAAATTTGGAGGCAAAATCAAGATCAAGTGGTGATTAATGAGGGTGTATGATGGAAATAATTGTGATGAGATAGGGGAATTAAATGAAAGTGATATATAATATTCTCATAATGAAACAAGTGAATTTTGGTGCCAAAATGCTGCAGAATTTGAAAATTTTGTTTTTAGCCAAAAATGCACGTGTTAATCGATTAACCCATTTTAGGCAGATTTTGGCTAATCGATTAGTACAATGAAAAAATGAGAAAAATGGTTTTTTGTTGTGTTGTCTTGGCTCTTTCTTGATTCTTTTGACTTGTTAAAGAAGGCATGGAAATAAACACATGAATCTTAGAGTCTCTTGAGTAATAAACAATCAAATCTTGGGAAACTCTTGATTAAATGATTTTGAATTGTTTGCATTTCAACTTTGACTTTGTTCAGATGAATTTCATTCGAGCTGATGAACTGGTATTTAATGTTCTCGATTCTAAACCTCCTCCTGAAAAAAAAAGTTAGTAAAGGAAAAACAAACATATTTTTGGTATTTCGATTAGAGTTAGTAAACATAAACAAGCAATAAAGTAAACAAGAAACACATGAATGTCTGGTGATCTCTCTCAGAAGCAAAACCAAAGAGGAGGGAAAGAGAACCAAAACTGGTGATCTTGTTTGCGATACAGGATACAAAAATAACATATGGGATCTTATGATTAAAAACTAGAGTATTATTGATTAAACTCTAATTTGTGGGTCTATGAGAGTAGTACTCTTGTAAATTTATAATGTGAAGGCTAAATTAAATTTATCATAAATTTAGACCATTCATAAAATCCAACTTTTTTAAATTTTTCTTTTACCTTTTACCCATTAAACTTTGCATTCTTCTAGAAACAACTAGATATTTTGCAAAAAAAGAAATATGACTTCAAAAATTGCAAAGAATATATTTAGAATATTTTTTATAAGATATTTTGATAAAATATTTATCAAATATATATTATTTATAAATTATTAAAAATATATCTAATTTAGTTTGAACAATAAACTTCAATTAAAAACATATATTTTAGTATATAACATTGAACTAATTGAAAAATGACAGGTTTTTTCTTGTATTTAGATTAATAATTTATTTTGAAATTAAAAGTAATGCATTGTCAGTATAAACTAATTTTACATTATCATTTAATAAAATTATAATATTCTACCATATCATACTAGTAAATATTTAATAGAATTTTTTAATATTTAATAAAGACAATGCATTGTATAAATATTTAGTAGAATTCTTTAAATAGAAGACTGCTACATTGCAAAGGATAACGATTCACAAGTCAAAAACGCTAAAGTACCTAACAAAGAATTTTAAAACACAAAGAGTTGTTGTTCAAATTTGCTCTCAAATTTGTTTCAACCTATTTATTAAAAAGCACTATTATAAACATTATTGTAACACTTTTTAAAATAATTTACTAGTATAATATGATCGAATATTATAATTCTATTAAATAATAATATAAAATTAATTTATACAGACAATACACTACCTTTAATTTCAAAGCGAATTATTAATCTAAATACAAAAAGAAACATGTCATTTTTCAATTAGCTCAATATTATATACTAAAGTGTATGTTTTTAATTGAAATTTATTGTTCAAATTAAATTAGATATATTTTTAATAATTTATAAACAATATATATTTGATAAATATTTTATCAAAATATCTTATAAAAAAATTCTAAAAATATTCTATTTAATTTTTGGAGTCATATTTCTTTTTCAAAATATCTAGTTGTTTCTAGAAAAATGCAAAATTTAATTGGTAAAAGTTAAAAGAAAAATTAAAAAAAGTTGGATTTTATGAATGGTCCAAATTCGTGATAAATTAATTTAGCCCTCACATTACAAATTTACAAGAGTAACTACTCCCATAACCCAAATATTAGAGTCTAATCAGTATACTTCACTTTCTCTTCATCTGTCACCTTCAGGAAACGGTTTTTCTTTCCGCCATTGCAACAGCCATCCATTTCTTCACTCTTCCATTGCTGTATACATCAAAATCAGAGTGACATGGATCAAATTGGCGCGGAAAACGACGATCGCGAAAACGAAGAGGTTTTGAAATCCAATTCAAATTCAAGTCCAAATTCAAAGGATTTCGAGGAGAAGAAAGACGAAGCAGAAGAAGTTACGGTGAATGATCCCGAACAAGATCAAGGACAAGAAAAAGATTCAATGGAGGTGGAAGTAGAAGAAGGTAAAGAACAAGACTCGTTATCGCAAACTCCCGCCACCGTTTTTCAAATTCGCCTTGAACAATCAGACGCCTATTCACTTCACAAGATGAATTATCCTGAAATTTGTCGCTATTTCAGGTTCACATGTTTTCTGTTCGTTATTTCAATTTTACGTCTATGAATTGTTTGTTTCTTTTGATTCTTATCGTAATGCTGCTACCGATGATTTGTATTTTTTTTTAGTGCCGTTGCTTGGTGTCCAAAAATGAATGCTATAGCTTGTGCTGCTGAAGCTTGTATCAGTGATCCAAGGTTAGTCTGTTTTTAATAATCCCTCACTAGTCATGTTTTCTGAATATTTGTGAATAACTATGAAGCACCGACACCTCCGTGTCAGACACGTCATGACATACGTGATTATTCAATTTATTTACTTTTCTAATTATTATTGGTGTCAGTGTCGTGTTCAGGGTGTCTGTGCTTCATAGCTGGATATTGCTAAATGTTGATTAGAGATAGATATGATATGAGTATATGACTGTAGCAGTGATTATAAGTAAGGGGAAGCTCTCATCTTGTTTGTTTGTTTTGTGTGGTGAAGTTAAACTCAACACAAACAACTCTAAGATGATATCAAAGGTTATCATAGATTATTGTAATATCCCGGCCGGAATATTGATTGGAAGCCGCTTATTCGTGAAAATAATGAAATTATGGGACCAAGGGTAAAATAGTCATTTTTACCACCAAGGGCGTTCTGGTCAATTTTCGTAGTCTCTACATAACTTAGGGTTTATGGTTTGTCTGGTTTGTGGAGTTAAGTTAAACTCAACACAAACTCTAAGATGATATCAATGGTTATCATAGATTTTGTTATTCCACCTGCATTTGTCCATACTCTAAATCTTCATTTTTGGGTGTGAGAGTGTGTGTTAAGATTTTATGTTGCTCCATCTGGCATTATTAGTCTACATTTTAGATGTCAAATTCTGAGCGTGATGTGTTGAGAGTCCCCTATTTGTTAGAGACTTGACTACGGTAGTGTTTATAAGACTCAAGCAACTCTTGTCTTACAAGCGAGTTTTGTCTCATTGAGTTAGGCGCAAACTCTAAAAGTTTGAATCAGTAGAGTTTTGTCTGATTGAGTTCGTCACAAAATCTAAGAGCAAAATAATTTACTAGATTGGGATGATTTGGGGGGTCCAAGGAATTTAACAATTTGTGGATGAATTCAAGAAGATTTGATTGGTTAATATTTCAAACTTTCTCAATTACATCTATCCTATTGTAAGATCCAAACCAGAAGAAGCACCGGGAAGAGGTATTATGTGATGTATCTTTTGATATGCTTATCTTAGGTGGTCGGTACAGTGTCTTTAATTTCTTTCTCTGATTAGCTTATATTATATTTTTTCTTGATCTTAATTAGTTTCCTCCTTTCTAGGCAAATGAATGTCAAACTACTTTAAGTTATGTAGTAATATCGCAAATGGTTCATTAAACAATGCGTTAAAGGATAGGCTGTAGCCTGAATTTCTGATCAACATCTACATATATGTCAGTTTTGCATATGATACATATGCATTCATTTGTTAGACAGACTACAGGGAAATCTGAATGAACGGGTTTCCATGGCAAGCAAACACTTGTTCATATGAAAACAAGCTAGCTTAACAATGTCCAAAGTTCATATTGTTTGTTAAATTTGCTTCTAATATTTGTTCAAATCATTGAGGTTATATTGACAAACAGCCACACATATGATGTCTTAACCTTACTCAATCATCTTTATCCAATATCCATTAGTTTGGCTTGCTGCTGATACTCTGTATGTTTATTTATACGGGCAATTTTGTAATGGTTATTAGTGTTTCCTTTTCCATAGCTCAATTCTAAGTCCACCATTTTGGATTCCTGTACATATTGTGATCCCAGAGAGGCCAACTGAATGTGCGGTATTCAATGTCATAGCAGGTACTTTGATGTCATGAGATGACTATTTCACTTTTACCATAAGGGCTGGTTTTGTTTGATATTATTCTTGACTTGGCATCAATGTTAAAATTGGGTAAATAATACCAAATTTTGGAATGTCTTTTTCAATATCATTACCAATATCAAGGTTCTGATAAATCAGAGGCTTTTCAACAATGTGATCCTACATAAGCTAAATATGGGATTAGTAATATTATGTTTGAGCATAAGGCATAAGTTGATAGCAAAGAATTTTGGAATCTTCTAATTGTCAGAATATTTTGGCAATCGTGTTTTGAATTAAACCTTTAGAGGACTTTGATCTGGATAACTTATAAGCTTCAGATGTCAGATCGACTCCTTTTGAAGTTGTAATCAAATCTTTACGAAGTTGCTGTTTCACAACCAGATGGGCAATATAATTGATTTTAAAAGAAAAGTATGAAGGATCTTCATGATGAAAATATATGATAAATCATCATCGTCATCATCATCGTCATCGTCATCATCGTCATCATCATCATCGCCATCATCACCATCATCATCATCATCGTCATCATCATCATCATCATCATCATCGTCATCATCATCATCGCCATCATCATCATCATCATTATAATAACAATAAATAATAATAATTTTACGTTGAATGGTTTGACAAATGACATTTTATGTGTAATATTGGTAACATAAGAAATAAGATGAGTTGAATGTAAATGATACAACCCAGAAAACTGAGGAAATTGAGATCCTGTATAACAGTAGCAGAGATCAAATATCTTATCTGTTAATTTCTCCTTGCCGTCAACTATAGGATATTTCCTTTGATTTGCTTCATTGACTGATCATCATATGAAAAATAATATTTTGATGTTCTTTCTTGACGTTTTCCCCTGAGTTTTTAAGTCTCTGGACTGAACTGCTTCACTATATAGGCAAATGCGCTTATACATTTGGAAATTTGATTAGTTGCACTATACGCCTTCTGCAGATTCTACTCATGATCTCATCCAGTTTATTGAATGGTCCCCTGCCTGTTGTCCCCATGCACTATTGATAGCAAATTTCCATGGGAGGGTAACTATTTGGACTCAGCCATCTCAAGTAAGCCAGTTTTACTTAAGCGGATACTACTAAAAAACAAAATTTCTAGCATAGATGTTTAGTAAAACTGCTAAATATTCTGTTATAGGTTTTCCTATGACCTTAGATTTAATTGCTAAGTTGCTCTGCCTATAACTGAGTTTGTTGCTAAAACTTACCCCACACTACATAGCTTCCTGTGAACTGAGGGTATTTTTAATTAAAAAAATCCTGTGACGGGTGATTTAGCTATGTGTGATAGCTTCATGTAAACTGAGATGCAATTTTCAAATCCCTTAATGAGAGAGTTAGCTATGTATTAACCTTGAAGGCTGTTAATGTAGTTGACCTAGTGCTTGTTTGCGCCTTCCTCTTTTGCCCATCTTTATTCTTCACTTGCTTCTTCATTACTCATATATGGCTATATATTTTTTTCTTCGTATTGTTGATTTCTTAACCATTCAGGGGCCAGTTAATTTTGTATTGGACACTAGCTGTTGGCAGTGTGAGCATGAATGGCGACAAGATATTGCAATTGCTACAAAGTGGCTATCAGCGGTGTCTCCGGTATGCGGTTAACTTCTCTATGCTATGTTCAAAATTTCAATATACTGTCTTTTAGGATTTTTTATCTGTCTAACTATACCCTAAACTTATTTGGCTAAACAATACATTTTTTCGGTATATATGTCGAACTGTACAGTTCTCTCAAAAAAAGTTTTCTATCTCTTAGAATTTAGGTTGGATTTAACTCAACCTTACAAAATCGGCTTTTAAGGTGAAGAGTGTCCCCACTTATAAACAATTATTCAAGCCTTGTCTCATTAGATGTGATGTGAGACTTAACACACCCCTTCACGCCCAACACTATTGAGTTTGGTGCGTGGGTATAAATGGTGGGTGGTCAGATAGTGAAAAATTGATAGCAGGTGATCAAACGGATCATGGATTGGCTTCAATATCATCTAAGAATTTGGGTTAGGTCTAAATCAACCTTACAAAGTTGGATAGCAAAGCAAGGAGTGCCCCCACTTATAAATAATTATTCGGGCCTTATCTCATCCGATGTGAAACTCTTAACCCTATCTATAAATAAAATTCTCTAAGAGTTGTTTAGAGATAGGTCTTTTTGAGGAAAATTAGAGAAATAGAAAATGTTCTTGGGCGAAGTGGTTTTTTCAGACACCTTTTTAATAGGAAAAATTGTAAATTATTACTTTTCCTCGAAATGGACCAAATGAACTTTAACTTTTTAAAAAATTTAGTTTTTTTATAGGTTTCCTAAAATCTCCCTGATCCCCCTTCAATCATTAAGCCAGGGCATTGATGCACTGACTTACAGTTTGCACTGTAATACTAGTAAGCATGTGAGCACATACATACAGATATTGTGCGGTTCAATGTGACCTGTTTTTTTTTTTTTTAACTGAATTAATTTCTTTTTTGTTATATAGTATAGATGGCTGTCACCCAAATCAGGTGTTCCTTCCATTTCAAAGTCAATGTTTGAGGAAAAGTTTATTTCACAACAATCTCAAACTCCAGGTCTATTTTTTTTTTGCATCAACTTTCCTAATTGCCATTTTTCATGTTTCGAAAATTATTATTTTGTGAAAGAAGAGGGATATAGGTGTATGGACATGTGTATGGTTGTGTATTGGAACTAGAGTTTGGGTGTTACACGGTTTCTCTTTTTAATTTTACTGATTGTTTTTGAATTATCCTGTTTCACCCATTGACACAGGCCTTCTGATTGCTCTCTGTATTTTCGGTTGCACATTATCCTTTAGCAATTTTTTATGTTGTTTTTGTGAATTTATTTTTGTTGATAATGCCTCCATGAAGACAGATCACTTGAGATGAAGTAGTAAACTTAATGTTCTTTAAAAATTTATCTGATTCGTATATTAAGAATTTATGATACTCAACCGTTTTAGTGGCTGGCTGATGCCTAATTATCAAGCCCAAATACTTCAAATATGGAGCCTTCTTTACCAGAACTCATGTCATGATGACACTTGTCATCCTAGTACGACTTGCAAATTTTTTGATCTGTTCTCTGGGCTAGTACTAAAACAAATTTTGTAAGTTGATGATGCTGGTCGTTCATGACAGAACCTTAAATTAGAACTATGTTGTTCTCTCTTTGTTTGATAAGAGAATTCATTAAGAAAGATCTCGAGATTAATGATTTGGATAGAAGTATGGTCCTTGATAGAACATTATGGCGAAAGTTGATCCATGTGGCCGACCCCACCTAATGGGATAAGGCTTAGTTGTTGTTGTTGTTGTCGTCGTCGTCGTCTTTTTTGTTTTAATTAATAGTGCAGAACTATGTATTAAATTGTAAGATGCTTGCGTGTCTAACACATGGAGTTGTTTTGATTTCAGCTAGATGGCCCAATTTTTTCTGTGTATGTTCTGTACTCTCATCAGGCTCAGTTCAACTTCATTGGTCACAATGGCCTCCTAGTCAGAATGCAACATCACCCAAATGGTTTTTCACTAAAGGACAATTGGGTTGTGGGCCCAGAGGCATTGTGGCCGGTGATGCTATCATTACAGAAAGTGGTATTCTGCATGTAGCCGCCGTGCCATTTGTCAATCCATCTACCATTGTTGTATGGGAGGTTATGCCTTGGTCTGGAAGTGGTTTCCTATTAACTCCAAAGACAAGTATTAATAATGGTGTCCCACCTCGTAGCCAACCCAACTGGAGTGGTTTTGCACCTTTAGCTGCATATTTATTTAGTTGGCAAGATTTTCTGTTATCTGAAGAAAAACAAGGGAAAAACCAAACAGACCAAAACCTTGGTGAATCTATACGACTTTACTGCTCACCAGTTTCAAATTTTTCAGCATATATGAGTCCTGAAACCACAGCTAAATCTGAAGCAACCCCTGCCTGGGGTTCTGGTGTATCAGCGGTAACCTTTGATCCGATTCATGGTGGTTCTGTTTTAGCTGTTGTGATAGTTGAAGGTATGCACTTGAACCCGTCTCCCCTCAATCTCAATATTCTCTGTACATTATTATTTACATTCATCATTATCTTACCCGTATTTATAACTGATTCCTATTGATTTACCCATATTGTGTTAAGCTGTTAAAGATTTTAAAACCATTTATGCATAAACCATTTATTTTCACAGGCACTGTGATATATTCCTTTAACACTTAATCAATTGATGAACCATTAAATTTACTGAGAAGATAAAATGCTAAAAACCCAAATATTGCTAATCTGAATAAATTGAAATCCAGTAAAAGATCATGAATAATTTTTAAGTAAAGCCTGAGATGTCTATATTTTGCTAAACATCAGGTTTTTATATGAAACCGGAAAATTGATCATCAAAACTACTTCTCCTTTGAATAGAATTAATCAGCTACAAAGCAATAGGACTTCAGTATCCACAATACAGATACTAAATTTTAATATCAAATGATACTATGTGACATATTCCCTCTCACTACTGGTGTTTCTGCTCTTGGAATATCATCCTAGTGCAACTTGGCATTCCATCTGAGACCAACTTGAGTGATATATCAGTAGGACCCGTGCACTTATCTAGCATTCTACATATCTTAACGATACTGCCTGAGATTCATGTTTGTCAGAATTTTTTGCCTGGGGTTTCTTGTGGACTGATCATTGAGCATTATCTTTGCAGGGCAGTACATGTCCCCTTTTGACCTAGATGAGGGGCCATCAATCACAGGGTGGAGAGTGCAACGCTGGGAATCATCGTTGCAGCCTGTTGTCATCCATCCAATATTTGAAGAGTCTGCTTCAAGTATTGGTGGAAAGCTTCCTATGCAAGCTGTTTGGCAGTGCAAAGTGGATATGAGTATTCCACCAACAAATGATTTCGAGAATTGTCAAACACCTCCAATTGGGGACAATGTCAACGCTTTTGATCTTCCAAGTGATATTAGGGCACTCTCACGAGTTGTTTACTCAGCTCATGGTGGTGAAATGGCCATTGCTTTTTTTCGGGGCGGAGTCCGCATTTTTTCTAGCTTAAATTTTACACCTTTAACCAGCTATCAGATTGATGTTGGAGCTGCAATTGCTGCTCCTGCTTTTTCTGCAACAAGCTGTTGTTTAGCTTCTGTATGGCATGACACAAGCAAGGGTCAGACCATATTGAAAATAATTCGGGTTCTTCCTCCTGCTATTCCAATTGGTCGAGTGCAAGCAAATTCTTCAACTTGGGAACGTGAAATTGCTGAAAGGTGATTGCTTAAAATGCTTTAGGATGCGGCATGTTCATCTTTTCTAAATATGCCCATAATTTTACTGAAAGTTGTGATTCATGTGTTTTTTGGTCTATGGTTTATTTCTCTAATAACATCTGTTGGGAAAAGCAGGTTCTGGTGGAGCCTTTTGGTTGGAATTGATTGGTGGGATGCTGTGGGTTGTACACAAAGTGCTGCTGAGGATGGTATTGGTAAGGATGTGCAAATTATTAAGGCATTGTTCGAATGAGTTTTAGTTTTTAGTTTTTATAAATTATTTTGTAAATCAATTTTAAAAAATAGTTTTGAAGAAAAATAAATAAATTAAAACATTTTTGGTAATCATACTTTTAAAAACTGTTTTAAAGTTGGACAATATTACAAATTTGTCATTAATGAGAAATGTATAACTTTTCCTTGTTTTTCTTCTTTCCAAATTCCAAAACTAAAAACCAAAACATCTAAAACCTATTTTAGTTTTTAAAACTCTTAAATAGAGAATAGTTTATAAAAGTAGTTTTATAAAACCAAATCGAATAGTCTCCAAATTCCAAACAAGTTTTATTGATTCAAATTTTAAAATCTAAAAAACAGTTTTACAAAACCAAATCGAATAGTCTTTAAGTCTTGCTACTATTTTTTGTGTTTTTTTGGTGTTTGTGCCTGGAAATTTAGAGATGTTAACTATTTCATGCACTCTATTGTGGCTGCACAATTGCTACTCTCGACTGATTCTGTATGCTAATTAGGTTTTTATTTTCTTTTGGTTTCAGTTTCACTTAATAGTGTTATTGCAGTCTTAGATGAAGATTTCCATTCCCTTCCTACTGCTCTGCACAGACAACAGTATTGTCATGTATATTTCTGTAAACTATCACCATTAGCTTGCTTAGTTATATTCTGTCTTTAACTCCAGGGGTGTTTGATTATTTTCTGTTGTTTCGCATGTATTTATAAAGTTATCGATAGTTTTTTATGAATATAATATTAGTTGGAATATGTATTCTGTAGCAAATGCTTGTTAGTAGCATTTTCATCTCATAACACTAGTAAAACCTCAATTGGTCTTCCAAAGATTGAGTTTTATCAAATTAGATTTATGTTACTAACTAGTCTGTCAAACATTATAGTGTCACCATTTCAGTCCTCCAAAAAATTTCATCACATTGGTCCTTCAAAGATGCACATTTGTCTCGAGATTTATCCATACAAAAGCTAAAGTGGTGAAGCAAAATTTTTAGATCTTTGAATGTCTAACTTAATGAGAAGTCCTTTGAAGAACAAAGAGCCTGTTTGCATTCTAAAAATATTTTCATTTTATTAGGCCATGGATAAAAATGCTACTGAAGTGAATAATTATGGTAGAGAGATGATGGTAAGAGATTGCATTTTTGAAAACACTGAAAAACATGTTATTGGCATTTTTGAAATTTTCGAATTGGATAGAACATTATGGCGGAATTTGATCCATGTAACTGACCCTACTTAAATGGATAAGGTTTGGTTGTTGGATCTTTTTAAAAAACCCCATTTTCAAAAGTTTCTAGAATGTATCATCTATAAGGTTTATTCTTTTTGGTGGAAATGAAAGTAGGAAACCAGAGAAGTAAAGGGGTCTTAATATGGTGACACTTTAATCTCTGAGGGACAAACAAAGTTTCACCAACCCCTTTCTATGGCTTTCATATGGGATATCTGTAGAGAATATATATTTCAACAATATATCGTTATATTGTTAAACATTAACTTTACATTTAACTTTCTGGTTTATTGCTGTAGTGTTTTAGGGCGTAACACAACCATGTTTTGTATGATTGCAGAGTCTAGACCAAATAAAGTGTAGGCTACTTGAAGGATCAAATTCTCAAGAGGTCAGGGCAGTGATTCTGGACATGCAAGCTAGGTTATTGTTGGATATGCTCGGAAAGGGAATCGAGTCTGCTTTAAATGACCCTTCAGCTTTAGTGCCTAATCCATGGCAGGTATCTGGTGAGACATTATCCAGCATTGATCCCGAAGCAGTAGCTGTTGAACCTGCATTAAATCCATGTATTCAGGTTTGTTTGTTACATATGTAACCACATGCTTCAAATTTGTTTGACGGGAAGATCTTGGCATAATTTTCTGCTGCAGCAGTTGACAGTTGCTAACTGCGTGGTTATATATACATAGCTGTTGAACCCAGAAATCCAAAGAGGAAAACAATTGTTTATTATTGACTGAAAAAGGAGCTCATAGGCTCTACAACGGAAAATAAAACAATGCGAAAGATAAACCAGAGTCAAAGATCCTATTCCAGAGCAAAGCTCACAACCAGCGAGAAAACTCTCCTGACCAATTCTAACAATATTTATAACGCCCTTGCACCCTCCTACTCATGTGTGTATAATACCCAGAATCTCATGATCCACAAACCACCTCACTAACAAACTTTCATTTTCTCCCTCATGGACCCACTTTCTTGTAGAATATGCCTAATCTCCTAACATCATCATACATGTAAAAGAACTTATGTTGTTGCATATTTAATACATCATGTAGATAAATATACGTACCTACCTATTATATGTATATAAATCTCATCATTGTTTCAATATTATGTAGGCCTATGTTGATTCAGTTCTTGATCTGGCTTCACATTTTATCACACGGTTGCGGCGGTATGCAGGTTTCTGTCGTACACTGGCAAGTCATGGTGTGACTGGGGGGACTGGAAGCAACCGAAATAAGGTCACTGGTCCTGCTCAAAATTCAACAGCTCCTGCAACAAGCCAGGGTAGGTCTGCAACAATACGATATATTGTTTATTAATAGATATTTCTTACAATAGAAAACATAGTTAAACCATTAAGAATGATTTGAATTTAAATGGTCAACCAGCAGCAGACACGATTCTTAGTAGCACATTATGGCATTATTTGAGTGATGATGTGTAGTTTGATCCTATTAAAGGAACTGGTATTAACCAGTCCATACTGTAACTACTGTGCAGTAGCTGTACAGTACTATAGCCTATCTAACTGTCCCTAACTAACTCTTAAAATCTAGGAAACTAATCTCTAGATTTTAGGACACTTGTAACTCACTCAGTTGAGATCTATGGTTCTAGAAAATAAATCTCAATCCTTTGTAATCAAAGTTAAGTAATGCAAAAACTGAAATTAAGAGAATTCAATTGAGAATTCTCATTACATTCATGAGAAAATAAGAATTCTGACAGATCCATATAACTGAAAAAAAGGCTTTGATTGTTGTTTTTGTGTAATTTGTTAGGTTTTCATTGATAAATTATATAAATGTATTGGTTCATACTTCTAAAGTCTCACTATGGATCTACCTAGAAGCAAAGTTTTGGGCCTTTTGCTTTTCATTGTGATAGAAATTTATTTACCTTGGATATTTTAATTGCTTTGACTATCAGCATTATTTTTTATTTTACGTATCAAATAAAGGCAAAAATGTTGTCCAGGGGGTGAAAATGGGACAACCAGTTCTAGTGGAAGCACACAGATGAAATCTTTGGTGCAAGGGGATATTGCCAAGATTAGCAACACTTCTGATGGAGTGTCCAATCCGACTCTTAATCCCCCCATCAGCGGTCCTTCATCCTTTATGCCCACAAGCATTATTAATAGAGTAACTTTTCCTAGCTCACCTGGAGTTCGACTTATTGGGGACTGTCATTTCCTTCATAGATTATGCCAACTTTTGCTCTTCTGCTTTTTCTTTCGACGATCACAACTTCCCCGCTATATGAGTGGTGTGCAGAGAACTGCCGATAACAATACACAAAAGCCTCAACCTAATGCTTCTGTTCCTGGCAAGGTGGAGGAGGTTGCAAAACCAGTGTCAAGTGTATTTAGGTCAGATGACAGTCAGACAGGAAGAGTTCAGCTTGTGCATAGGTCAAGAGGAGGTGAAGAACAGTCTCTAGGGCGTTCAAGATTTGGTACTGGAAATGCAGGTCAGGGGTATACTTTTGAAGAGGTATAACTTTGTTACAACTTGCCTAAAATATCTTATTTTTGTTATTTATGACTGACATAAATGTTTGGAAACCATGGCAATTCATTCCTTTACTTACAACAGTTGAACTGTTAGTTTCACTTGAGGTTTTAAAGCACTAGTAATGCAGGTCAAGGTTCTTTTTCTAGTAGTTATGGACCTCTGTCGCCGAACTGCTGGTCTGCAACACCCCTTGCCAGTTTCTCAGGTGGGGAGCAGCAACATTCAGGTTCGGTTGCATTATATTGATGGGAACTACACTGTACTTCCAGAGGTTGTGGAAGCATCCATTGGCCCACATATGCAGGTAACTTTCTGTCTTCTCATTTCAAAGTTAGTGTGTCTGGTAGACAAATGGAACTAGTTATGAGTTTTATTTCAGAAGCATGATGCATTATTTCCACTAGTTTAAGATGCCACTCAATTCATGATTTGAAAATATGATGCAAGAATGATAGAAATGAATGAAATAGGGTTAGAAGGAGCTCGGTTGTCTTAAACTAGCATGTTTGTTTCTCATTTAATCATAAAGCACACTGTTATAGATCACGTAGGAACAGTTAATATGAATGAATATTGAGCTCTTGATATAGTACATGCTTTTGTTTGTTTTATTTCATTTGGGTGAATTAAGATCTGTTTCTTTCCTTGGACTTGAGTGGCTAAATTTCCTAAGAATGGCGCATGTCCTATAATTAAATAAAAAACAACTATGCAGAATATCCCTCGCCCTAGGGGTGCAGATGCCGCTGGTCTTCTACTACGTGAGCTAGATCTCAATCCTCCAGCAGAAGAGTGGTACCGACAGAATTCGTTTGGTGGACCTTGGACTGATCTAGGTGATGAGGATGATGCAAGTGATGCACCAACACTTTTAAATCCACTTAATTCCAGTTCATTGGAAAATAGTGATATCCATCATGAAGCCAATGGCTTCTGGCCAAGGAAGCGCAGGATGTCTGAACGAGATGCAGCTTTTGGGTTGAACACTTCAGAGAGTCTGGGAGCTTATCTTGGTATTATGGGATCTCGAAGAGATGTTGTTACTGCATTATGGAAGACTGGCCTTGAAGGGGTCTGGTACAAGGTATGAAAAGAAGTCTTATACAGTTTTTCATTTTTTTTTCTTGTACGTGTGTATGCATAGTAACTAACAAGTGCTTTTTAGTTGTTATTAAGTACCGTTCAAGATTTTCCTTTAATCTTTAATATGGCCGGTGCCAATTAGGACCCAAGAATAACTTTATTTACAAATTTGATCCTAATTGGGCACATTAACAAGTTTGACAAAACTAAAGTTTTCAGTTAACATCAAGTTTGTAAATAGTTATTCTATTGATGTTGCTTGAAAATTAGTAAGAAGACACTTCTCCTTATTCTTCTTCCTAAACTCCAATTTTTCTTTCTGCCTCCACGTAGATATTATTCTATTTTCGTTCTTTGACATGTCTACGTTTAAACACGCATATGCAATAGAAGCACTCTAAAAAAATTAACCCCCCACCACCATTGTGTACTGTTACTGATCGGATATATAAATGATCTGCTTCTTTTTCTGATTCTTCTTTTAACTTCTGTTTGGTGCAGTGCATAAGATGTTTGCGGCAGACTTCTGCTTTTGCTTCCTCAGGTTCCACCAACCTTAATAACCGGGAGAGTTGGTGGGTGAGCCGCTGGGCGTACGGCTGTCCAATGTGTGGTGGAAGATGGACTCGAGTTGTATAGCTGGCTTCATTGCAGAATTGTCACCTGTGAGTTTCTTGGTTGAGGGAATATACACATGATTGTGGTTAACTGAAGAAACTAAATATAGATGAAATACTGATTGGAATTGTACAGGAAAGTAGAGATGTAGAAGTGAGTTTCTTCTTGGTTGAGGGAAGAAACACATGTTTGTGGTTAAAGTTTAGAAACAGAATGAAAATGATATGCTGACTGGAATTGTACAGGGAAGAAGAGGTGTAGATTTACCTGACAGTGACAGGTGTGTTGTGTTTTATATAGTCATTGTTGTTGGTCGAATAAAACTGCTTGTCGCTGTAGGAGCTAAGAAAAAAACTAGCTCTAGCTGTCATCAAGACATATCATTGCCATTAAACTCTTCCTAACACTTTGATGTTGCAAGTGAGGGTGGTTTACATCATAGAACAAATGATGAGTGGAAGGAAGAGTTGTGTATGTCTCTTATGTACTGCAAGGTTTATGAAGATAAAACAATTTTTGCATAAAATGCTTGAGTTATTTATATGTAGACCTTAAAACATTCAAGTATCTCAACATAGGTTAGAAGATTATTCATAAGTATGTTCAAATGCAATATTCGAATTAGCTACATCACTAATTTATTGAATGGTAGTTGTTAAGAGGTCCACATCGGACAATATATGACATGAACATGTGTTTATAAGTGGGGGCAATCCTCACCTTACCAACCGGTTTTGTAGGGTTGAGTTAGGCCCAACCACATTTCTTAACATGGTATCAAGAGTTTGGTTTAAGATCCGGTAGACCACCTGCTATGGTTTTTGCTATTGAGTCACCCATCATTTATTTCCATGCTCCAGTTGTCCAATCCTGGGCGTGAGGGGGTGTGTTAAGAGCCCCACATTAGACAATATATGACATGAACATGCGTTTATAAGTGGAGGCAATCCTCACCTTACCAACCGGTTTTGTAGGGTTGAGTTAGGTCCAACCACATGAATTATTACTTGCAATGCAAGTAACTGTACTTGGCCTAACTATATCAGTTTTGCCTAACATACAATTAAACATAAATCAACCATCAAAACTGAAAACTATTTAATCTCAACTAAGTCACACACTCCAAGTCTTGGATCTCAATCTACAAAATGAATCTTTGATCATCACATCTGCAAATTGCTTTTCAGATCCATCTATTGTGAGATCCATTAGGAAGTACAATCTAACATCAATATACTTACATCTGCCATGCATTATAGGATTCTTTGAAAGCTTGATAATTAAACTGTTGTCACTTATTATTAATGTGCCTTTCATTTGTGCCTGTCCCAATTGATGAAGAACTTTTCTGAGTCAAACTCCATGCACATGTTGTTGCGGCTACAAACTTAGCTTCAGTAGTGGATAGTGTAACTATAAGTTGTTTCTTTCGATGACCATGAAATGATTCCTGAGCCAAGCATGAATGCATACTATGATGTTCTTTTCTTGCATAATTAAAGTTTTTTCATCCTTGAAGCTCTTGTATTACTTCTCTTTTGTATAGGATACGAAAGCTCAATGTCCCTTTGAGATATCTAAGAATTTTTCTTGCTCCAACCAAATGAATCTATGTTAGTCTCTCCATGTATATAGCTATTGGGCACGCAGAATATGCCAAATCAAGTCTAGTGGCAAGTAGGTACTTCAAACATCATAATATATACTTGTAATTGGTGGCATCCAAAAAAAAATTATTGATGTGTGAAAGTTCCAACTTCACATTGTTTCACCTCAGCTTCTAGACAATATCTCATTTTTTCCATGTATGTCATTGCAAGTTTCCTCTTCATTTGACTCTTTGAATCTTTCAAACATATCTTCATCATTTCTAGTGAAAATCAAATCATCAACATACAAATTTACAATCAAAATCTGATCACCACTGTGTTTTACAAATAAGGTGTGCTCATGAGAAAACTTTTCAAACCTTTTTTGTCAGAAGTATGGTTCAATCTTGCTATACCAAGCCCTTGGTGCTTGTCTAAGGCCATAAATGGCATTCTTCAATTTATAGACCTTGTTTTTCCTCCTTTTTTATATCTTAATGGTTGATGAGCATAAACATTTTCAACTAATTCACCATGTAAAAAAAAAACACTATTCACATCAAGTTGTCATACTTGCCATGCTAATAAAGATAAGATAACTATTATGCTATCACATCTTGCAAAAAGTGTTAAAGAATTCACTGTGGTATATACCATATTTTTTTAGTAGTCTTTAACCACAAGTCTTGTCTTATGCTTCTCAATATCACATTTCTTATTGCATTTGGTCTTATAGATCCACTTCACACATTATTCTTCTAGCTCATGATGGTAGATTGATTAGCTCTCACGTGTCATTCTTCTCAATTAAAGGGATATTATAATCCATTTCATTTCTCCATGATTCACACTTGACTAAATCATCATATGTGATAGGGTGTTCATTGTTGTTGGACTTGACCAAGTTGTGCAATTGCTCTTCTTTTTCACTTTATAGACTAGACATAGTCATTTAGATAACTTAGATTCTTCTTGAGCCTATGAGGGAGATCATCTTCTTCTATCTCACTTACATCTTCTTCGATGTCTCCTTCATCTTAAGGATTATTGTTGACGTTTACATTTTCTTGTGTTGAAGTTTCATTAGCCTCATTAATCTCATTGATGTTTTCATCATTACTTTCATCACTGTCAATATTGCTAGTTGACCCTGCAGTTTTATTCTAATGTTGTTTGCCTTTAAATTCTTCAAACACAATATCTCTTCTTACTACACTTTTCTTCTCAACTAGATCATTAAGCTTGTATGCCTTAGACGCGTCACTCATTTCCAGATGCACACACTTGATACTTTTAGCATCTAACTTCATTCTTTGTACATCAAAGATGTGCACAAAGGCTAGAAAACCAAATACTCTAAATTATACACATATTGATTTACATCACTCCAAGGTTCTTATGGAGTAGCATCTTTCACAGATAGAGTATGTGCACAAAGGATAGGAAACCAAATTCTCTAAAATTATGCACATATTCATTTACATCACTCCAAGGTTCTTATGGAGTAACATCTTTCACAGATGAAGTATGGTTCTTATTAAGCATATAGGCAACACTTCAGGCCATGACTTCATAACAAAGATGAGTTGTTACTTGCAATGCAAGTAACTAAATTTGGTCGAATTATATTAGTCTTGTCTAACCAATATAAGACAATGTAGTACAATTTTATTGGGCACCACTAAAGCATAGGAAAAGTCATGCATTATGACAATAATATATTGAGTGGCTAGAGTAGGACTTAGAAGATGTATAATTATTCTATTTAGAATTTGGACAAAATTAGGTTTAAGGAGAATATTTTTTAGGGTTAAAGTACTTGGAGACACAAGAGGATTTAAATATAATAGACACTATGAAATTCATAAATCAAAACTTAAAACTTCATCTTATTTATATTGGAAATGATCAGAAACACTAATTGCTCAACATTAAATCACAAAAATGTACAAAAACAATGAAAAGAAAACAAGAAAACTAGATGCCCCAAAAGGACTAATAAATGCAAAGAAGCTATCCCTCAATAAACTTAGATTATTATTTATGATGACATTAGTAATCATGTCTGTCCCCAAGTAGACCAATTAGCTTCACTACCAACACGTGGCATCATCTGATTCCTTGATTGAGAATCAACATTGAAGTTGGCTCCACACATAACACCCTCACTGTCAATCCTAGGCATTGCTTTCATCTTCTTTGTTGGATGCTCAAAATTCAACAAACCATGCTCACTATGAAACAAACACCCTGAAATTTTCAACACCATTTAAAATTCTGTTACTCCTTATACAATTTTTCACTAATACAAAATCTTTATTTTTTGTAACCAAAATATTTACATACCATTTGGAAAAGGTGCAAATGATTTAGCACAACTTGATTTAACAAGTTCCAAATTTTCAGAAATGACCACTGATCCATCAGCTGCAATACCCCAATACAGTCCAATTTGGCCATCAGAACCCTAATCAAACACAAACCAAAACATCAACAATTGTTCATCAATAAGTCCAAAAATAAGTGATTAATTGAGCAAAAAGTGACTCACAGATGCAGCAAAAACTGTTCCATTTTTATGGTCATAGATCACAAATCCAAAACTTCCTTCAAAGTCTTTGAGAACTTGATCAGCCGGGTAAGGACCTCGGTCGCGAAGTGTCCGATACGCCTCGATGATGAACATGGCCTCATTGCTTCCCTTTGACAGTCCATATTGTTTGTTCAATTGACTAAGGTTGTGCAGATTTCCCATGAAAGCACAATAAATGTTGTCCAAACCACTAAACAACCTATGTGACACATTACACATTTTTTTGTGTTAGCAAGAGAATTCAATAAACATATATCTATGATCTATGATATAACCACTTTTACTCATTTTGGAAATTTCATTCCTAAAATAGCCTCATACCTTTGATAAATGGAGGGTGTGTTTGATGGAGAATAAGCCAATAAAGCATCATTTCCAAATGTCATGAAGAAAGCATTGGAGGAATTGCATGACATGAAATCTCTAAGAATTTCATGACTTGGTTTAGCTTTCTTAGTGTTTGAATTCTTAGAAGCTGGACTGTTAAGCTCTTTTGGTGCATTCACCAACTTTTCCTTGAAAATTCCCAACATGTTTGCTTCAAATCTTTATTTAAGTAACAATTAGCTGCATAAAAAAACATTAAAAAAAAAACATTTTAGTTTTGAACAAAAAAAATACTAATTATGAAAAGTGAGGAAATGAAAAAAGTGAAGCATACCAAGAAATGAGAATTTGGTGAGAGATAGATTGAAAATGGATAATGGATGAGAGTAATGAGGCATTGATGTAAGATATATATAGAAAGGGATGTGTTAGAGTTTTCTTTCTTTTTGACTTGAAAATGAGGGAGAGATGACGTGGAGGTTCTATCCAATCCAAACAATAAATAAATAAATAAGATAAGATGAAAAAGTAAAATATCTTAATCATTATGTTTTTAATATACTCCTATATGCAGGTTAGATTCAGAATTGATAGTTTATTTTTGACAGCAAATAAATGAAATAAAAAATGGAAAAGATATTTTTTTTGTTAATTGTGTCGTCTACTAATACTATTTATTTTACTTTATATTTATTTTAATAATAAATGTGTGAATATTTATTTTAAAAAAGCCGTAATAGTAGTAAAAAGAAGTGGTGAGTATAGCATAAGAATCTTGTGATGGAAGAGAACGTGTTAGTTGGAATTGCGAATAAATCTTATCCATTTTCATGTGACAATCATCTGAGTCAGCAACTTCCAAAACCACGTTACATCATCCACAGATTGTGCAAGTTAAATTCAAATTCGTGTCTGAATCTCACAAGCCACAACAAAATCTCAATTCAATGGATGCATCACCTTATTACCTTACTGTTTTGTCGTTATCGAATCATCACACAAACGTGTAATTCAGGGCTACATGTCCTATTTCCAAGAAAAATATTTATTTTTAAATATATTTTAATAACAAATATATTTTGAATAATATTATATTTGAATAATATATTAATTAAATATATTAATTATTTAATAAATTTTTAAAAAATAATTATAAATAGGATCAGAGAGTACATCTTTCATTTTAAAATGAAAATTATTTAAAAATTTTATATACAAATTAATTAATATAATAATATTATCATAAGACATTTATGTCCCACAATGAATTATTATTTTCTTTATTTTAAAATAAAAATAATTTTGTTGCACACAGATTAAAAGAAATAATGTAAAGGAATAAATGTGACAATTTTACATATATTGTCATAAATGAAAAATGAAATTCAATGTATTGAAACTAGTACAAACAATATTAATTAGGGATAAAATTGAAAAAGCGAAACGACTGTTATTTTGAGATAAATTTTTTAGAATAAAAAGACACTTATTTTGAAATAAAAGGAGTAAGTTAAAATAAAAAATTGTCTCAAAATAAATGACACATTTCAATTTTTAATGCATATTTTTCTAATTCTACCCTCTAATTAATACTTCATTTGTCTTATATTATAAGTTGTTTTAAATATTTCACACTAATTAAAAAATTTAATCATTAAAATATAAATTATGTATGATTTTATAGTAATGCCCCTTATAATTACACAAAAAAAAATTTAAAAAATTAAAAGAAATAATAATAAATATTTAGTGACTTATAATTTAGGATTTTTTTTTTTCAAAACATCTTGTAATTTTAAACAGAGAAAGTATTATTTTTATCATTTCTAATACTTATATCATTTTCTCTTTCATTTATTATTTTTTCTTTATAGGTAAAATAATCAAGTACATCAATCATTATGGAACGAAAGAAATCCAATTTTATTAAACTAACTTTATTAAATTATTGGAATTCCTTTTTACTAAATTTACCTTATTAAAATATTGAAATTAAAAGTAGTATACAATGTAATAATTAAATAGCACAATTGAAAAAATTATAATCATAACTATATTAGAAAATGAGAATGATTTAGAAACAAATTTTATTTGTTGAATAGTAGATTAAAAATGAAAGGAGTACTATTTTATTACTTGGTATGAATAGAAGTGTTACTATTTTACTGTGAATGCATGTACACATGAATGAAAATATCATCATTAATTTATGAACCAAAATTACATGTAAAAACTTCAGTCGGTACAAATGATTATAAATCATATTCCATACTATGATATTTTTCCTCTGGATAATAAACAGCAGTAACAATATTGCCCCCAAATTTCCTACCATTTAGAGCATTTTTTGCAGCTAAAGAACCACTACACTCCGAGTATTCCAAGAACACCTACATCATAAAACAACACCACATTCAAACAACTTAGCGTAGATTAAGAATAACCCTCGAACTCTATTCTTGTTTAGAGAAGACGTTGTAAAACCATAAATCTAGGCCCGTTTGAAAGTTTCAAATCACTATGGCTTGAGAAGCATGAAATTTGTAACACATGCACTATAAAGTTGAGCTAACAAATTGAGAACTCAGATGCATCACAAATGAACTGCATACCTTTCCAATACCTGCCGACAGCTCTCCGTTTGGATTTGGACGAGGTATAACAACATTCATCAAGGTCCCTATACATTTCAATAAGGAAGAAGAAGAAGAAGAAAGTATATAAATCAAATCCATGAACAAAGACGTCAGTAGGAATTCCAGAACATTCATTTGCTGATTATTGCCTTATTGATCTTGCAGTAAAATAGATTATAAAAATAAAATCAGTAGATGAGAACACTTCCTACAACACCTACAACTTTTTAAATACTCTATTTCCCTTTGGAATGGTTCATCAAGATACTCTGAAAGACAAGCTTCTCCAACAACTTTGTCTTACAACCATCATACTGAATTGCTAATAATTTCATTCTACAATTCCCAAGAGAGAATTAACTACATAACTGAAATACAGAACAAGTATGAATACTTGTCTGCACCAAGCTAAAAAATTTGATAGAGATTAGTTGAACAATCTAACTTTTTCTGACCCTAGTATTCCAAAACCTGGGATGAGTTTAGTAAATAGAACCGAACAATCTAACTTTTTCTGACCCAAGTATAGTATTCTAAAAACTGGGATGAGTTTGGTAAATAGAACCAACTCACCCGCTAAACCAAAGAAAATGTAATATAATTACTTCATATGCACAGCTTTAAGCAGAAAATGGTAGTAACAGTTACGGGACACACATGATATTACACAACACGCATACCAAATTTGCAGCATTCATCCCGCATGTCTTCCAATATTTCTTCATATTCTCCATTATCATTTAATTGTTCAGTAGTGACGGCCTTTAAAGAAAATCAGGTAGGACAGGTGAGGTGAAAACCCAATAAAGGTCAATCAAATCAAATTGGTAACCGTGGTAAATTATGACAACATGAAAATAAAAACGGGGGAAATAAATAAATAAAAAGCAAATCAAGCTGTCAAAACTCTAAAAGGAGTATTTTCGTCTGACAAAATTTTGCATGTTATAGAAACTAGAATTACCTGGGTTAAACATACAACTTTAGTGGGGCTTTCTTCGTTTGTTGGGCCTCTTTCGACTCCTGGAATATTTAGCCCAACCACTTCCAAAGCTATTTTCTGTTAGTTGATGGATGTAAATAATCAAGAGTAATAATAATAAATAAGTGGCAAACAAGTAGAAAAACAGAAGGTAAAAGTTTGTGCCTCACCTGCATGGCTACATGCTGTTGTGCCCGTGCAAAGATGTTATCCTCTTCTGGTTTAGAATGTCCACTGCCCGACAAGTAGATTACAATGAATTTTATTAACCAATGGGAGGTAAAAGAAAACAATTTAGTCACAGACAATAAAAGTTTATTCATGAGTATTGTTCCATGCTCAATTATACTATCAATGATAAACACAGACAGCAGGAAATAACTGAGGGAATACCATTAAATACCATAAGCACACAAGATTAACAGATGTTAAGACAAACATAAAGAAGCTTGACAGTATCATAGAATGGTCTATTCCATGTATGATGCATCTGAGTCATATTCTATAGCAAATGAGCATATTGAAGAAAGAAAATTTTGAAATTGTGTGTGTGCCACGGAAGTAATAGATAGACTCCTCAGTAGAAAGGCTAACCTGACAGTAGCACGCCTTACAGTCAATGTTTTATCTCCCATTTTAAGGCCATTAAGAGAGGCACAAGCAATGTCTGTTACTGCTGGATCCTAAAAAGATTACCCAGAAAATCAATTTGAATAAAAAAATACAAAGACACATTATATCCTGTTAAGAAATTACCAAAAACTTTTCTAGGTAATTACTCAAAAAAGAAACATTTGAAAAGTGAATTATCATTAAGATCTATATGCTCTACAATACAACTTTGTTCACCTGATAGATGCAGAAACCATATCCTTTAGAGTTTCCCGTTTCTTTATCTCTAACTATATCAAAATTTCGGAGAGGACTGCATTGTGTCAAATTTTATCACAACATAAATGTCTTGGGCTTATGCTTGTAAAGTAAATCAATAAGCATGGTTGGAAAATCATATAAAATTCCAGAATACACAAGAATAAACACGTAAATAAACATATTCATGACAATCATACCCAAAAGCTTGAAGCAATTCTCTCATTTGTGCTTCAGTAAAGTAGTATGGCAGCCCACCCACAAAGATGCGATCAAGTCCCTCGGCTCCACCAATTGTACTGGGAAGTGGGAACATTCCAGATAGGTCAGAACATAAGGTATACTCCAACGTTTTGTAAAATTTATGTAAAACATGCACATTTCCATCAAAGTACAACTTACCCTGCAGAAAGTCCAACAGCAGATAAGTTGAGGTTTGCACTGGGCTGGCAAGGACCTAGAGCTGCAGCTAACGAAGGGTTATAGTCAGTTGGCCTACGAACCCTCACAGAAACGCCCTGAGATTAGATATCACAAGAAAAACAACAGTGATTAGTGTTCTAAAACATATTGGACATGCAAGCTCTGGGATTTCATGAATGTTTTGACTGATATTATGTGAAACAAGGTAGGTGATGCGTGAACCAGGTAATATGCAGAAAGCAACCTTTCTAGCTCATTGCATTGAAGTCGAATTGTAAGGAAGAAACATGGAGTT